TTTGACGTTCGAGCTCCGATTTGGATCACAATAGATTTTCAGAAAGAGAACGACGAGCCGACTGAACTCAGAGCCTTGATGTGACTTATGATAGATTTTAGCTATTTAAGTTAATTTAGGACTCAAAAACTGCTTTTAAAGTTTTAGTGTTATTTGTGTCATTTAGTTTATTTTGAATTTTTTTTCAATTTTAGTTTGTTTAAACTAGTTTGTCATATAAACCATTATAAATAAATGGTTAATTATTCGTTTTTAGGCATCTTACATTAATAAAATTTTGCGAGTTTATTTTTTTATAACTTGGTAGATTCCAAAAATTGTGTTATTAAAATTTTCGTTTGAATTCGTTGTTTTGCACTTAAGGCTACATGAGTTTCCTACCCACAACAAAGTAATACAAGTACGAAACTAAAATAGCCCTTACTTGCACGTGATTACACACACACATATATATCATTTGATTTCAAGCCTCCATCTTTCATTTACAACCGCTCGCCTTTCATTTTCAACTCGCTCCTCCAAAGTAGATTATGTATTAACTCCTTTGCTCGACGTGGCGTTGGAGGATCGACCNNNNTCGACGTGGCGTTGGAGGATCGACCAAAACCAAGTAAGTACAAGCACTAGGATCTTACAAAACTCCAAGTAAAATTCTCTAAGGTCTACAACAAACAAGTGGGAGAGGCAGGATTCGAACCTACGTAGAAAAACTTCAACAGATTTACAAATAAATCAAAAATAATAATTAAATCACAATCGAGTGTGATTATAACTATTAAACATAAAAATGGTAAAGTATATAGCCCTGTTTTTGATAAACAAATATATGAAATTAAGTCTATGTTTGGTTTCCATTTTTTTTTTCAAAAATTCATTTTTTTAAAAACTTATTTTCAAATTTGATACTAACGGATATAGTGCCATGAACACTTTTGGAAAAGTGACCCTACTTCAATTGCTACCACAATTGGATGTCACGTGTTCAAGTCAATGGTGAAGTACTCCCATGGAGCGTACGAATAATGCATGAGCACGGTTGAAACGGTCTAAATGGAGTGAGCTTGGGGTGGATTCTCAAGCTTAATTTTGGATGATATATAATGGATTACATTAGTGCCATAGCTATAACTTTTGAGCAAAGTAATAATAGTACCCTACATTAATGGTGGAAATGCATGAGAATACTTAATTCTGGTAAAATTTCACATAAATAATTCCCCAATCGCAATTTGTTTGAATTTTGTTTCTGCAAATTATATATGAAACTGTGAGCACTTACATCAAATATACCGATCTCCTATAGGAACAGGGTCAATGACAAGGTTTTATACAGATATACACTTGGCAAGATTTCATTGACAGTTAAAAAAAAAAAACTGTCTTTTCAATACCTGGAATTCTGGAAATATCCCATGTCATTGACCATGTGCAACCAGTTTAATCCTCAATTATATTACAGAGATCATGGCCAGTTAATATTGAATCCAATTTCCCAAAACGAGGAGAGCATGAAAACAATAATTCCAAACACAAATTTACTAGCATACATGAACCATAAATGAATGAACAAGGCTACGGAGTTCAAAACATTCGGGAAAAAAGAAGTACAGGCTATTCAAGTGAAACGACAAGTCCTTGTTACCTAGCTTTCCTCAACCACTTAAGTGTATTCTCTAATGTCGTGTATGCAGTAACATCAGTCAAGCTCTTGCTCTCAGCCGCATAACCAAACACTTCATAAGCATATGCAACTCTGCCATTCCTACACAACGCCCTCCAAAAAGTTCCATAAAACCCAGTTTCCAGCTTCATATTACCTTTCTTCATCACCCCGTACAATTCAACCGCCTTATCTAATAATCTCGATTTACACAACCCATGTAGCAATTTATATGTGCATGAATTTGGCTCACATCCCTTCATTTCCATCTTCTCCAACAAAGCCAATGCTCCCAATGCATCTCTTTCCGTAAACATCCCAATCATATATAATAGTATAAGTCACTAGGTCCGGCTTTATATTGAACTCCCGCATATCCTCTCTAAAGCAATTCGTTGTACCCAAAGACCTGTTCTTGACAAGGTGCCTCACCAGAAAATTGTAGGTATAAGTATCAGGCGGACAATTCTTGGTCGACAACTCCTTGATCAGTTCAATGGCGTGTTCTTCGCGGCCACAAGCACAAAGGGTTATCACTGCAATATCAGTTGAGATTTGATCGGGTGGAAAACCTTTGGTAGTCATGAGGTTGAGGGCCTGCTGGACATTTAAAAGAGAAGGGTCATTTGGAGCTCTACAAGACTGCACAAGGAGAATATGATAAATAGACTGGTCTAAGGAGAATGGAGGGTATTGACCTCGAAAAATGGCTCGGTGACGTGGCCAACAGGATAAGTCTTCAAGTCAACTCTTCCAGCACACATAGCACGCCGTTAGTCACTCGTGGCCTCTCCCGGAGTGGGTGGAAGAGGCCGCAAGCACTCCGACGGGCA